CAGAACATGACCCAGGCACACAGGATCACACACCACCTCCTCATCGGGGTTTGCATGAACCCCCACGAGAATGAGCAGAATTTTGTTTTGGAAGAGCTGCAAAACACAGCTCGATGGCTGACAAAACTGGAGACGATGTAAAATTTTGTAAAATTAACAAATTATTTTCTGTAACACAGAAACGAATATTCCTTTATGTATAAGAAAGAATGCAGCCTAGAAATCCAAACATTAACCTTTAATACCATATACATGGATAATGGATGCCAACATGTTGCATGTTTCTTGTCACTAACTACCGGCAATAACGGACTGTACGTTCCCAGCATTTCAGCGGCTAACCCATGAATTACAAATTAAGCTGTTCATGAACACATGAGAGCGCGCCGTCCAAACTCGGCCTTAGCACACTGAGTGGCAGGAAATAAAAACCCATTCAGTTTTAGCCACAACTTACTTGGGCAGGCCTCGGTTCAGGCCCTCCAGTAGCACGCAAGCCTTGCAGAGCGGACGGCTGGAGATGTAACCGCAGCGATGGCACGTCCCCTGCGTGGGCATCTTGACATCTTTCTTGATGGACAAACTCTCCCCGGAATGGATGATGTCTGGGGGGGAGGGAGTGAGATGCCGATGAAGAAGTAAAGGTGCATAGAATGAGCCTTTTGCAAGCTAAATTTGAATAAAATCTAGTACACTGAGTTATCTGATTGCACATAAATGCAACTGTTCGAATTCCCCAGACTAACGACACTGTTGCTGTACCTTGTGATTCGGGGCAAGCTTTTGCATAGCGACCACCATCTTGGGAATGGACTGGTTCCTTTGTGCCCTTCTTATCCATTGGAAACAGTGTATTGGCGCAAGGAGTCTCTTATGTAAAGCAAAAGCCTGCCCCGAATCAAAGGTACAGCAATAGTGCCCTTAATATGGAGAATTCAAATTGTTATGTTCACATGAAGTGAAGAAATCAGTGTACCAGATTTTGTTCAAATTCAACCCGCAAAAAGCTCATTCGCAGCAATACGAGACTTCCTCTACAGATGGGCATTTCAAATGTTGCAAATGTCAATTTTCAAGCTCTCGCTATTCAAAAATGGGCAAAGTTCAAGGGTGTTTCTTGGGGGGGGTGGGGAAGTTGTGACAACCCCCTCCTTCATTTGTCACAGGCAGAAATGTTGAAAACGGTTACCGGTACACCTTGTGGAATTCATCTCTTCTGAAGTGTGGTCTTGAGAAGAACCGATGAGTGGGAACTCGACCAGGATGTTGTGGTCATCCTAAGGAGAGATGACCAGAGTACCCTGGTCAAAACTGAGTTGCCGCTCAACAGTTCTTCTCGGAACCTCCACACTTCTTGAAGAGATCGATTTCACATATTGTACCAACAAACCTCACTCAGTCTAGCCTCCACCACGCAGAGTTCAAAAACTGAATACGGTTGTTAACTGTCAATTCCAACTTGCAGATGAAAACAACGACTCACCTATGATTGAACTAGGTCTGATTTTTTCTAGGTCTTTGAGATATGTTCTGGCATGGCCTCGGTATGCGTTGGGGGAATATATACACTCCGTGGAGAAGTAGTCTAACTTCTTAAAATATGCGTACCTGTGCGTAACAGAAAGAGAGCACCAACTGACTTTAAATCCTTGGATCGGAATTCAAATATGTGATACTTGAAGCTCTCCGACTGGTCCTAAATCTGTCACAGGGATTGTTTAAAACCACCATTCAAATATTGCCAAGGGCCACCGTGCTCTATGCAACAGTATGTAGCACGCCTCATGCACCCATTTCAAGATTGGGCCATGTTTAGCACCACGCGTGCTGTGGCAAAAACCTTGGCCAAGAAGGGGCTCCCAAACACATGGAGTACATCAGTTACACAAAATTGCTAGAATTTTTCCGGTTCTTAAGCTTGTTTCTACTTTGTGACCTCTAAAAGCATCCTGTGGCGTAGATTTATTAACCTTCTGACCAAAAATTAAGAGTCCTCGCCTTCAGCTTGGGCAGTTCACCAGCTACATCGAGCAGACCACGATCTGTTTTGCATCATGTTTAAAAACTATACTACGTTGTGTGCCCGGCAAAACGTCGTAAGTGCGCTTGCGCCCTTTTGCCCGGAAGCATGATCTGAGTAGAAAAAATGTTCCTGGTAAAAGGACGAAAGAAACACACTCTCTTTGTTTAATAAAACGGATGAAATTTACTACAAAATCAACACAGGCTGTGCATAAAGCAAGCTTTGAACAACTGATCAAACGACTTGGGAAATTTTTTTTTTAGCTTTTTGCAAAGAAATCTTTATATTTCATTAAAATAAAACAGTTGCATAAATGCATCCTTTTGCCGGGAACTTTTTTTTGGCAGCGATCATTCATCCCGGCAAAAGGTCGTAAGCGCTTACGACCCTCTTCCGGGCAGAGAACGACTATTAGTTTTCCCCTTTTAACACGGGACGGATGGCAGGAAACAGAAGTTTCCTCCAGTACACTGGATACTCACATGACTATTTCTTTCTCGTACGTGTATTTGAATGGTTTGCATCTTGGCAGGGCACCATCCGCTCCCTGAAATGGAATAGATAAAGGGGCCAATCTCCGATCTCAATACTCACAGGACAAAGCCAGCAATTTACAGTACAGAAAAGCCGCCTGCTGAGGCTCAGATTTGGCCATAGATACCAGTCAGCGTGGACGAGATTGGAGGCAAATGAAACAGTCACAAATTAGTCACCAAAAATTTTAAGGGCCCAACAGCAGTGTGCCGTAGGGTCTACAGTGTCCATTTGCCTGAAGGCACTCCTTAAAATAGTCGCTGCATGTGTTTAACATAAAAATTCAATACAAAAACACCAGATTTTAAAAGAGACTTTTTGAATAATCCTTAGATCGGGAAAATCCTGGGGGAAAAAAATCCTGACAGCAGAAGAATTCTGACAAGTCTCACAAGTGGATGTTTCTTTCTGTATAAGTAAACAAATTTTACAATTTTGTTTATTGATAAAGTCTACAAATGTATCCTCTCAACTATTTGGAAGTAAGTCTTCTTCAAGGCAAATACAATGTACCTACAGTGAATCCCTTTTCCTCTTATAAACTGAATAATAATTATACTTAGGTTGCGTGATCAAGAGCCAATCTTTCTGGGCCAATCACATCATCCTTGGACACTGCTAGCATTAACAATTCCTCCCGAGCGTCGCAGCAAACTCACTTGGAATAAATCTGTTTTGCTTGTCAGTTTTCACAGCAACACTTACAGTTGTTATTGCTGTACATCTTCTCAATCTGGCCACATCACCTCTAAGAACTGAACAAAAAAAAGTAAAAAATGTAAATACCACGCAAATTCCAAATTATGATAAAATTAGGGTCAATCTAGTACACAAATGCACAACGCGCCACTTCATTCGCTATAAAATGCCTGGTGGCATGTTACCGATCAGATGTTCCTTATCAATGTTAACTTCATTTGAACTCACCGTTCATGATGACGGTTTCCGCAATATCATCGGCATTATGCCCTGTTGAAGACAAAAGAACAAAAAGTTAGGCTTGCCACACAGCACACCAATCTCATCCCCGCCTCTAGGAGAAAAAAGGTGCTCTATGAAACGGCACTACTTGTGACTATACCTGTGACGATCTTGTCCGCCTTGACGAGTATAGCACCGCGGTCCAGAGCTTGTCGTCTGAAGACACCGCAGAATGTACAGTTACTCTTAAGCCCTATCTGCCTGACAATAGCATCCATAGTCCAGCCATACAGTTCCTATGAAAATGGAAAAATTGCACAGAGATGCTCTCACAAACTTTGTTAACTCCAAAAAGCCTTTGCCGGGATCCTTTCTTAACCCTCAAAAGTCCAGCACTTTTCAGGAATCCACTCACACATTCCTTGGTTTCATAACCTACTACATACATATATCACAAACCTAATACCTGTATCTTACGCACACTTGAAGAAAACTTGACACTGATTACTGCCCTTCAGCTTCCCCTTGGAGTCGTCACAATTTTAGGTGGGCACGTGTAATATGTAGTCCATGTAATAAACAATCTTGGGTTACTTGAAGTGCCCGATAAGGTCAGGAGATCACACACTGACTGAATTTGCAACATAAATCCAAATGATTGAAAGCAAATGACATTCAAACAAACTTTGTTGCCTTTCTTTCACTACACTCAACTATTTTCCCGCATTATAACCATGACAGTGGAAACCTCCCTTCACAATTTTCAACTCGGCCGACATGTATTTGAATTGAATTGTGGGATACTTCCTAAAGTAACCAGACCAATGGGTCGGTTACTTGGCTCAAGGCCCAGTAAGAGTGAGAGGTCACATGAGTGTCCAAATTGACTGCAGTCAAGCCTGCACAAGTATTTGTGGTGGAAGTAATCGAACGAGCTCTACGTATACAGAAATGACACTTAATTTTGCTAGCTTTTAATAAAATCTCACCTCGTAAGAAACAATTTTCAGTGGCAAGTCATACTGCATTTGATTTCTCTTCACAGTCTGGTGGAAAAAACACAAACAAAACGTCACTAAAAATCATACTTTCCATTTGGGGAAATAGCAAAAGCTGTGATATACATGTAGGGAACTAAAGCGCTGAAATGCAAACAAATGGAACATACAAGTACACGTTGGTTCACGTGCTGGTTCTACTTCCATACCGGTTCTTATGTGAGTGACTTATTCACTTCAGTGCTCCAAACAAATATTTCCCTCTTTCATGCATGTTAAAAAAATAGGTTCCCTTAAAATAGGTTCCCTTTCACTCTGAGCTTAGTGACAAGGCTTTTTTTGCCAAAACAAAGAGTCTCTGCAAATTAACTTTTGCACCAAAATTTATGCATTTCAAGTGGTAGCAGGCATTTTAGTTTGCACACCTGCACACATCCAGATCTTACGCTTTTGGCTGAGAACATAACATTTGTGCCGCACAAATGAGAAAGAACTTTTTAGGTTTTAGTCCCACAAAAGCAATCTTGGGAAGGTTTTTCCTCAAACCTATCAGAAAGTATACAGTTCTTGTGACATCACGGTACATGTACATCGTTGAAGAGCAAAATTCACTTTCAGTTTGACACCAAGTCATGGCCAAGGCCATATTATCCTTACCTCCAGGGAATCGTCTCTGTAGCCTGTTATTCCCTCATCCACTGAGAGAAGCACGATATCCAGCCCGTAGTCATGTCTCTCGTTCAAGAGCTTCATGACGTAAGCCAAGACTGTGGAGTCTATGGATGAAAAAAACACAAAATGAAACTCCTCGTGTTTGACAAAGTACGCAACGACCGCTGAGCAGCAAAAGTTAGATTTTGTCTTATCCAGATTCAGAAGTCATTATTGAAGAAGCACAGCACTTGTGGGCAGGTGGTACGTGTGTGTAACATGTACATACATGCCTCTTTGACCAGTAGGGTGTCGTGATTTGCCAAACGCACGAGCCTGTCAAGTTGAAAAATGTGCGCACGCATGACCTGCCACGGCAGTTATGGCATCTCCTTGGATATGCACATGGGCTTCAAGTGCTGCAGCTGTGTCTCTTTCCACCATCATACCTGCCAACATTGACAAGTCGGCGGTCAGAATGCCCAAAGTACATGTACAGGTATTTCCAATCAGCAAGGAGCTAAGTGGTCTTATCTTCGTATGAAGTCCAAAGTTGAATGGGAATCGAATGGAATAAAAAAAGTGCCCACTTTAAAACAGTGAGGAATAATTTGGACACACATGTAGCGCCAGACTGATAAGACAGACCACTGTAAAGCTGAATGGTGCAATTATATGTACAGAAAGTTCCGCACGAGTATGCAGTTCCGAAGGTTGAGGGTGCTACGTGTATCCCAGTCAAGCCAAACTGTGTGGCCAATCGTTCCAAAACTACCATAGGCTGAAGGCTTTTATACCAATATCTGGAAGATGACACCAGTACGCATGCACATGAACAATGTGAATTCTACAACTTGCACTGCCTGTGACGATGAAAGCTTTCACTAGACAAAATATGCATTATCCCTAACAGTCCTCAGTCCTCCAACAGGTGGAGGACTGAGGACTGTCAGGGTTATGGATCACTTTGAAGTATGAAAAAAGCAACACGGGAAAGAAAATGTCAAACATGAAAACTGCCTACATGTAAGCCTGGTCATGGTCCATTCAAAACAAAGACAGGAAAACTGCAGTGGCGCATGTACCTTTTCCGCCGGAAGCACCAACAGCAACCCTCTCGCCTCTCTTGAACAGTTCAGTATCCACAATGGTCTGGTGTATCTCTGCCTCAAAGGCCGCAAAGAAACATTCTTTGCACAGAGCATCCCCCTGCATAAAAACAAAAACAAAAGAAGAGCTATTTATATGAACCGCTCCATGCATGAGTCCATGGGCGTGTGTGTTTCACATGGATCTAGATCTCGGATTCCGGATCCGGATTTGTAGGAATCAAACGGGCCCCATGTGCCTCCTCATTTTTGACACAAGCTGGAGGGCAAGAGCTGAACACCACTGGTGTCGCTTATAAAGTGCTAACACAACATATGGATTTGTAACATTATCCATATACATGTACATGTGCAGAAATCCTGACTCCCAAAACATTCCAGTTTAAAGGTTTCAGCCCCCTGAAAAGGTGGATTGGATAGTGAAAAATACCAATGTACATGTACAAACATACATGTTTGTGTATTTCTGTGAGAACTGTCTCCACATGCACATGTACCTGACTGCCTTGGAAGAGCTTTGCGCATGACTTTTTCTCCATTTCTACATTTGTGTACTCGCTAAAACGCCTTGGAAACGAGAATCTACCGGTATTTCAAAGTACGTAGCATGTACATCTGTACATGTAACTGTATGGACTATAACTTTTTTGTTTTTAGGAAATCTTCAAACTTGTCATGTTTACACAAGCTAACAATGGACACGTACATGTACCTTGGCTCTAGTTCACAGGAGGGGTGTTTTGGATGGTACATGTACATGTAGTAACATGTACTCCCCGAATCCACTTTGTTTTACTGAACACTCTAAAATGGGAAGGCACCTGACTATGTACATGTACATGTCCATTCAGGAAAGACATAAAAAAGCATCTTTTTTCCAGTATACAGTAGTTTCATTATCAAGTGTTATGCAGCGCCATGATCTACGGTAGATGGAATGGCGCTATTTTATCTCGCTTTTATTATTATTTTTTATTACGACTGTGTACATATTTTTGTTGGACATGTACATATAACTATAGCTACAGGTACCAGTATAACTTCGCTTTGAGAATGCATTTTTCATTTTGACAGTAAATAAATATTTCATTGTCTGAAACTGCCCAGTGCTGCACAAGGATAGTAAATAATCTTTAATTCACTCCTGCGGCACATCATTTTCATTCCCGACAAAACTGTACATGAAATTTTTTAACAGGGAATGTCCCACTTTCGATTCAAGATACATGTAGCCGACTCAAGAATGAACCCAGTAAGGTCGGTAAACTTGCATTTCATGGAGGTTTTCTAAACACAGAAAAATCTGCAAAGCACAACAAATTTTGTCGAGCAAAAACGGTTTCTATCACAGCCAAAAATGTCATGCATCAACTGGTTCTGTGTTGAACAGCTTCATTTAAAGGGTGTGAATCGCAGAAATTTGCTGTACTGGTATACTTGCTGTGGCTGCTTTTCATTTCTTTTTTGCTCAGCACATGTCCTGAGCATTATTTTCTGCTTGGCGGGCGGGCTAAGAAATTACATGCAAGTCCTCGGCCAATTTCAAGGCACTACTAAGCACATGATTTAACGCTGTAACAGAGGTTCTGTTTAGTTTACAGAGACTGTAAGGAGTATTAAGCAAAACAAAAGGCATGCTTACCTCAGACAATTTGCTTGCATGTAATTTTGTGACATACAGATCTCCAGGCACATACATGTAACAGTAAGTACAACCACACCATACAGTACACGCATGTACTGGCGGCCAACTTTTCTGCTACGTACTGCAGTGAAATGATATCTGGCCCTGTGGTTTTCCTTAAAAATTTGCTGAAGTGGCAATTTCTGCACAGCAGTGCCATGAACAACACTGGCTTCGGTTAAAAAAATCAGCATGTGAGGTTGTGAAATGTTCTTTGAATAAACACACGCACATGTACACAAGTGAAGTTTGCAGAATGACTGACAAAACATCGCTACCTGATTCCCTGACCCCTTTCCTTAATATTTTCAGCTTTGCAGGTGTTGTAAAGTGTCCCAAAATGAGACGCAAGATTCAGGTTTACCTGACCCCCCCCAAAAAAAATCAGCATCCCTGTGCTACATGTAAGGTACATACTTCTCTCAGGACTTCATTAAGCAGCCCAAGTTGCATCTCCTGAGTCAATACCAGCCTGATAGCAAGTTGGCCCTCGTGAACGACATCTAATTGGGTAATTTGATCAGGGGAGAGCCCTTCCCTCTCCGAGTTGGGACTCTCTCTTGCTATTGTCGGGGAGGGGGAGCCCGTGTTTGGGCAAGCTGGCGTGACAGTTGGTGCTGGGGGCCGACGCGCTCGCTGAGGACATTTGAATGAGCTTTTAAGTCCGTCTTGAGTATTGTAGTGGGCCCCTATTCAGTTCTCGTTACCACATCTTGCCATTGCTTGAGGCAGATTTGCTTGAACAAGGCACAACAGACAGTCAAATGAGCAGAGCCCTGCAGAGCCCAATTTTGTGGCTCTGCCTATGGTAAGCAAAAAATCACCGCTAACCACACCGGTGGCAAAGAATTTTGCACTACCAGTGAACGTATTTCACAAGTTAGCCGGGGAATTAAGGATTTCATGCTTATAAATACTCAGTTTAAGCGCACAATTTTTGTAGCTCTGCACTGATAAAGCACAGAATGCTGGAAAAGTTTGTGGTTAGCACAGCCATGGAAAGAGGCCTATGGCACAGTTACACACATGCATGACCACTGTTCTTCCCCCTTTTGCAAAATGTGACACTGGTGTGGTCCAGCAGTCAATATCATTTACCCAGATTCCCACACCCCAAAAGTTTATAATACATGTGCATGTACCAGTAAATGTGTGTACTGTTATGTGTACAGTAGTAGGCACCTTCAGTGAACATGGTGAAATACATACATGTAGTTCGTGTTTCTTTTCAACAGCCCTGTGAAGCAAAAATAACCCCCCCCAAAAAAAAAAATTATTATTACATGTATATTGCTGCAAGCCAAAAACCTGACAGTGGACAGTTTCTTAAAGTGTGGCTGTAATGAATTCAAATTAGACAGAATTTTTCTTCTATACATGAAAAACTTTCACATTCCTATTTGGTCAAATGCATTAAAATGTGCACTTTTTCCTTGACAACTGAGGGTGTTGTTGCTAGGAAGTCATGCATGGAAGACATACATGTAGTTCAGTGCATAAATGGCATACATGCATGTAGGCTCTTCTGTTAAAGTTGTGACCCGAGACTATACTTTCTGAAGACATTTCGGAGAAAGGGATTGATTAAATGTAATGCTATGCACATACATGTACACGTAAAAAACAAGGACTCGGCAAAGAAGAGAAAACAGAGTCCAGCAAAATCTACAAAAATGCAGGACTTTTTGTGTACAAACAGTGTTACATTGAGGCTTTCTTCCTAAGATGACATCACATTTTGGCTCATGAATGAACAAATCATTGGCACAAAAACCAAAAAGGAAATAAAATACCCTTCAAAATAGTGGAACAAAATAGGGTGGAAAATATGGTTCACTGAGACACAAAGCTGCATTTTGAGGGTTTCAGACTGATTGCAGCTACATGTATCCTTCAAAACCACTTTTGCACATAAAAATTAAGCATGAGCAAAGAAATGGTATAGGACAGTGGGTAACAACGCTACTGAAACTCAGTGCTCGTACATGTACATGTCTAGATCTTCCCTTGGCAGTTTTGCTGGAAGGAATTCTAACTACCATGGTCCCAAAAACTACATGTACCAACAGTACCGGTATGTCAAACTGATTGTTATAGTACATGTGTACCCAAATTACAAAATCAAAATATTATTTTTTTTAGATGGCATTTAGACTCATTTTGTGGAAAACAGTCACAATCATTACACTGTAAAATGTACGTTTATTTGGACTGACTTGATTTATCTAAACGAGTACTGGTACACACAAAAAAGTTTTTGTTTTCACACATACATGTACACGTTTGACAGGCTAAAACCCTTCAACTTCACACCTACAGCCAGTCCCCCTTGGCCACCTTCCGATGATGCTGCAACTGCTCCTTGTCTGCGTCCCCCCCCCCGAATAAACACTGATCTCCCCTACTGCTCAGAAAACCAACACCGAGAGACCTTCCTCTGTCCCGATTGCTAATGGTTGGGCCCCGTCCAGATGCTTTGTGTCTACGGGCAACTTGTCTGCCAAGTGTGCGTGCGAGGGGGGGGGCCCTGGCTTTCTACACGATATTTCCTTTCACAGCTTTTGGAACATTTATATCCACATAAATCATTCCAATTTTTCCCCTCTTTTTTTTTTTTCTTTTTGGTTTTTGTTTCACACAATGGGCATACGTGCGTGTTTGTGTGTGTGGAGTTGGCTATGCTTTTTCTCGGGGTTTGGTCTGGTCTGGTCCTGTGTCCCCGGCTGTTGGTGGAACAGATGGTGTACACACCGCCCTTGTGTGCAGGCCACACTTTGCCCATTACATGTACGGTATGTACATGTACACCCAGCCCTGGCAAGATTCCTAAATGGTTTATGAATTTATCAAATCATAAATCTCTCAGATAAGAAGAGAACGATGGGCGGACAGCGGAGGGGAAACACAAAGGCATTTTAGAGATTCACGGTTCAAAAAGTCACTTTGTTTAAAAGCTTTTATCTAAAACTTTTTATGAAGTCGTCCCCTCGGCGATTATAGGCATACATGTACATGGGCGACAACAAAGCTACATGTAATTTGCACATTTATCTTAAATCATTTTGTCGTACCCAACCATTTAACAGTTAAAATAATTGCACTCTTTAACCTCAAATAGCGTAACTGCTGACTAAATCTAATACTGTTGCTTTATTTTGGTTTCATAAACACAAAAGAATAGATATCCAGTTTTCAAGAGGTTTTGTCAAACTTTTGGAAAACCTACAGTTATCTATGGTGTAAAATTACATGTACTTCTGACAATCCAAGCAAAGGATTATCAGAACACCATCCAGTATTGCCTAGAGTAAGCAAGCAAATACTTTCACTACTCTCTGTTCAATTTGAGTGTTGTGAGAGGGGGCAGGCAAGCCGTACTGGAAATACACAGGTGATCTTTCTAAATGTATTCGAAT